TTGTAAAAAATGGAACATTGGTGTGTCTAGGTTTACAACAACTAGGGCAAAAGCAATGGCAACCGCCAACATTGATGGTTGTTTTTCAAACAACAATATGAAAGAGTGTATGATTATGCACAAGATTTACTGAGGTCAAACCTTGGCTCAACAGTGGAAGTGAATGTAGAACGAAATGAGGATAAGGCTATATTCAAGAGAATGTATGTGTGTTTCAAAGCATGTAAGGACAAATTTGTCTCATGTAGGCCTATTATACATTTGGATGGATGTTTCTTAAAAGGTAAATATGGAGGTGAGCTTTTAACTGCTGTTGGAAGAGATGGTAATGACCAGATGTGTCCGTTGGCATATGTTGTTGTTGAAGTAGAGAATAAGGAAACATAGAATTGGTTTTTAGAATTGTTAATTGATGATCTTGGAGGTAAGGGATTATGTTCAAGGTGTACTTTTGCGTCAGATCAACATAAAGTAAGTAAATGTGTACCTTTCATTCATTACTTTATTGACCATGCCAATTTAAGACTCATAGTCTCATTCATTACTGTCATATAGGGACTTCTACCAGCTATACAACAAGACCACGAAGCTATACACCCCACTCAAATAGGGCTCAACAAGACCACGAAGCTACACCACACCCCACTTAAGCAAGTTTGATTACTCAAGAACCCTAGATCGATCACACTACAACACCACTTTACATTATTGTTCTATATCTATATTGTTGACATTTGTGTTGTATTTTGGATATGAACTTTGAACTTTAAGTATTGTTGCTTTGTAATATTGAGGTCATGTTTCACCTACAATATTATTTTGGATATGATGTATTTTGCACTTAATAACTTTAACATTTTGGATCATCTGTAATATATTTTGTTAAGTGATGTTTAATCTTCAATATCATATTATTTTGGGTTGTCTCATCTTCTATTGTCATAGTCATATTACTTTGCCTTCTCTGATATCAAAGTTCATGACATATAACCAGAATCTCATTTCATCAATATCACAAACACTTGAAGAATAACACAAACACTCTGATATGAGTAACAACTTCTTCATTAAGTACAATCTCATTACAAGCACAATGTCATTACAACCAAAATCTTCATTAAGTAACAAACAAACATTACAATATAACCCCATCAAACACCACTTCAACAAAATTAAAACATAAGACATACAAAGATGATGTTAATGAACCCCATCAAACATAACAACCCCAACAACACCTTCTCCCTTTTCTGAAAATCCAAAAGTGATTTTTCCAAAGTAATAATCTTCCTCCTTTGTCATCCAATTGTACTATCCCTTTCATCTATATAATCTTCAGTGCGCCATTTGAAGAAATTACATCCTCACACTTCTTCATTTCGACTCTGCTGTTCAAAACATCCAACCAAAAACATCTCAAGAAAAAGCAAACAAATGTACCCCAAAAAAAACACAAGGAAGGAAACAAATCTTGTAATTAGGGCAGCCCCAAAAATGCTTCCCCTCATTCTTAATAGTTTTTGCGACTCTTACTACGACAAGCTCTCCATAATAGCATATTTGGCTGCCAATCATTCCTCTCGATGAACCACCACGAGAGATCCCCATGAGCAAGACGAACACTGATTTATTGACATTGCCTTGCGGAAGGAGAAAATAATGCTTCGTCCACACCTACAAAACAACCCCAATCCCAAATAGCAAACCCCAAACAGAGAAGAGAACAACAACAGTTCAACTTAGGGAACCTACTTCAGAAAATGAACAACACCTTCGTTAACTTAGGGCACCCACCTCACAACAACAAACAACAAACAACACTCACACTGTGTTAGAACGAAGAACTTAGGGCACCCCACCTCAGCTCACATCCTTCACCTGAGCTTCTTCAACTAAGCTCCTTGGAGATTAATGTGTTAGGACAAATCCCAATGCATTTGCTTTTCCAAATTATAGGATATTTTCATATTTGTCCTTGCTAAAAATCACTTTTGCCACGCTGGATAAGTAATTTGCCACATCAATTAACATTTAATGTCGTTCCTACCAATTTAACGGCATTTTCATAACATAGAGACCCAATATCTTCATTTTTAAAACTGAAAACTAAACTGAAAATTAACTCTTAACATGGGACGAAGTAAGCATTTAAGCCTCCTTCAAATTAAGCAAACCATTGCATCATATTACTCTCACCGTAGATTTCCCTACAAAGTAATAAAAACAAATGGAATGTCATAAATTCAATTTCTAAACAAGCATCACTTATGATCAGCAAGTTTACAACTACATTTTAAGCTTTTAAAAAAAAAATTGAACTGTGAGCAGTAAAAAATTAATAAACCCAACGGGAAGATAACATAATAAGAGATGACAAAAACTTTACCTCGAGGTCTTGAATTCTGAGTCTTCTTTTCATTCTGACAGTAAAGACAACGATTGTGACATACATCCAATCGGTTACATTCATGAACCACTGAAAATAAGCATATCTCCATGAACTTTTTACTATTAAAGTTCCACAAACACTCCAAAATCCAACAAAAAGTCCCAAACCCATGCTCAGATAAAACTCAAAGCTTAAGAGTTCATCCTCTTTTTTGTGAACTCTTCTTCCTCTCTGTGGAATCACATCTGGGCATTGGTTTTCAAGTGGTGAGCCACAAAGCCCAGTATTCCCAACATAAGAAGTCATTTCAAAGGTATCTAGTTGGCGGCCTATCGGAATCATTCCTGATAAGTTGTTGAAAGACAAGTTCAAGTAAACGAGAAAATCAATATTTGAAATTCTTGTTGGAATCCTACCATGAAGATAGTTTCTTGACAAGTCAAGTGATTCCAAGCTCTTCAAACAACCAATGTTATCGGGAATTAATCCTGTAAGATTGTTTCTTGAAAGATTTAAGCTTGTTAAAGCCACTAATGATGTTATACTTTTCGGTATCTCTCCTCTTAAGTTGTTATTAGAAATATCAATGGCTTTCAATAATCCTAAAAGTCTATTGAATTCGACGTCTCTTCCTTTCAATGTCAATAATATTTCATCAAAAAAAAGCCCAATTCCACTGTCATGAAATACTAAAGGTGCAGATGTTCCATAGAACACGGTTTCAATTCGAAATTCCATATCTGACATTGCACTTATGTGACCAATGCATTGTGGTATTTCCCCTGTAATGTTGTTTGAGGAGATATCCAATATTTTAAGAGATAGCATATTACATAGACTTGTGGGTATGCTTCCTTGGATCTTGTTACCTCGTAGACGTAATACAATCAAATGATCCAAGTCTAACCATGTTTGTAATGTTCCTTCAAGATTATTATCCCCAAAATCAATGAATCTTAAGCTTTCTTTGCAAAGAGTCAGTGATGGAATCTCACCAGAGAAGATATTGTTATTTAAATGCATCGACAAAATACTTTGTAAATTGCCTAATGACTCTGGCACTCTTCCTGATAAACTGTTATTTGCTAAATTCAGAACTTCCAAATTTTGAAATTTTTGCCAACAATTTGGAAGGGGACCTGTGAGTGTGTTACTAGACAGGTCAAGATAAGTTACAGACAGCGAGGATGTTTCACAAAAGGAAGATACAAACCCTGTGAACATATTATTTGAGAGAAAAAGTTCATATACTTTTGGCGGAAAAGGAGGCAACGGGCCAGACAAATTGTTGAAACTAAAATCCCATGTACTCATAAGCCCTGTCTTAATTTGTGATAGTGATTTTGGTAAGACTCCGCTAAGTTTATTATGGGAAACATTTATGTATAACAAACTTGATGATATGTCCCCTAACCATTCAGGAAACGAACCCATAATGGATGTATTAGAGATTTG